TTGCATTCTCCATAGTGTGTCAGCACTCTCCGTGTTTCCGCCGTAGGCTCCCGTTTCCTTTAGTCCTGATTTTCTACCCCTTCCTGCCTTTTCATCTTTGCCCTTGGGCAAATGTTGCCCTTTTGAGCTCGTAGAATTGATTGTTCTAAGGAGCAAGTTCTTCTCGGCTGTTTTATTTTATGGGCCTGTCTATGGTTTGGCTGAAAGGTGGTCTCCAGGAATGGCTTCAGTTCCAATTCAGAAGGGTGTCCTAGGACCATAGTCTCGAGGGTTCCTTCAGTCTCTGTCAGACCAGTAAGTTTGGTCTTTTTTGAGAATTTGATTTTTTGTTCTGCAGTTTTTCTCCCGCTCTGACTGGCCCCGTCCGTTGTGATTGCAATCAGAGCAGTCAGTAGTGGTAGCCAGGCACCATCTAGTTCTTCTGGTCTCAGGGTTATTTTCCTTTTTTTCATATCTGTATTGCCTACTGTTTCTGCCAGGAACACCAGTTACTTTTTTCCTTTCCAAATTTTATTTATTTTGTTGTTGTTGAGAATATACACAGCAAAACATACATCAATCCAGCAGTTTGTACATGTACAGTTTAGTGGCATTGATTACATTCTTTGAGTTGTGCAACCATTCTCACCTGCCTTTTCTGAGTTATTACTCATTAACATAAGCTCATTCCCCCGTAAGGTTCCTATCTAATCTTTTGCTGTTGTCAATTTGATCCCATATAGATAGTTCTTAAAAGAGCATTATGCTGAAGGCAGACGTTTTTACTAGTTAAACTGAACTCTTGTTTGGTTTTAAGAAGACTGCAGGGGTTATTTAAGGTTTAAAGATTATCTCAGGGCAGTAGTTTCAGGGGTTCATCCACCTTTCATGGCCCCAGAAAGTCTGGAATTTGAAATGAGAATTTGAAATTCTGTTCTGCATTTTCTCCCTTTTGATCAGGGTTCTTCTGTGGACTGTTTGATCAAAATGTTCAGTAATGGTAGCCAGGCACCATCCAGTTCTTCTGGTCTAATGACAAAGGGGGCAGTTGTTCATGGAGGCAATTAGCCACAACACCAGTTACTTTTATATGAGGAAAAAGTTATAGAAGTTTGGGGTTCTGTTTCTTAGTCCTTTGCAGAAGGATAAAGGCTACACTCCTCAATGTGGCCATCAGGTTCCCTAGATCTGGCCCTTGCTGCTCTCCCTCGGTCCTCTTGTCACTCCCTGGCGTACGTCGTACACTGCAGTAACAAACGACTTGGAATTTGTTGCTTAGTGCTTTTGTTGCTACGTACCTTAGCTTGCCTAGTCCCTTGTGTGTGGATTGACCTCTCCTTTTGCCCGGTCCACTCTACTTCTAGTACTACCTCCTCAGGGAAGTTTCCCCTGAGCCCCTCACCCAGGCTGGGCGACAGGCCTTCCCTGGGCATCCTTGTGATCCTCTGCCTTCCTGTGTGGAACTCACTGGTGTACTGCTCCCTTGCCCCACCCCTTGAACTCTGCACTCCCAAAGTGTATGACTTTGGAGAGCTGGGAGTAGAAACTCCATTTTTGTTTTTTTATCCAAGTCAAGAGGTTAAGGTCTTCCAGAATCTGGTTCCAATGTCCACCTTTTATGTTAACCCTTGAGGAAATAGGGATTATCTGGCAAATCAAAGTGTTCATTGATCTCCATTGCTGTCCTTTAACTGGCTCTTAAGTGCACAATGTTAAAGATAATGTGTACATTAAAGGAATATTTGAAAATAGGAGAGTGGGAAGAGAACACCCATTGATAACCCTGGGTGTTCTTCCATCTGAGAGAATCTAAGAGTCAAGGAGAGTTTGGGAGAAGGAATCCTCAGAGCCATAGCTCTCAAATTTCATAGAGCATAAGAATCCCCCAGCAGCCATCTAAGATGCATCAATTGGTCCCAACCACCTGGAGTAAAGGAGAATGAAGATCACCAAAGACACAAGGAAAGTAGTAGCCCAAGAGACAGAAAGGGCCACATAAACCAGAGACTTCATCAGCCTGAGACCAGAAGAACTAGATGGTGCCCGGCTACCACCAGTGACCGCCC